TGTTTAGATCTTGGTGCTTTTTTTGTTTTAATCATTAATCAATCAAAAATACCAAACATTTGCTGGTAGCTCCTCTTTGGCTTGTCTTTTGGACAGTCCGATTTTCTGTTTTTCTGGAAAAAAACTGTTATGGAAAATTCTAGAAATATTGTGTAGAGTTTATGTGGTGAAATAAACCATGTGATGTCACCTGGCATTGCTGTAATTGTGAAACCATAAATTCTGCTGTAATAGTTGAAATCACTTTATTGTAATCATACATGGAATCTTCATCTTAGTCTTGTCAGAATATCTTGTTTTTACTCTAGCATAATGTAAGCATATAAGCTTTCTGTTTTATGTCTGCTATCTGTACAGGTACATCAACAATTTATTTCACAAAGTAGAGGATCAGTTAAAAAAAAGATCTGATTGGCTTGTGTGAGAATTCCCCAGATAGAGCTCATTCAGCAGACTCTGTACTTGAGATTCCTCTGCCCCTCAACTTTCTTGTCCATTGACCTTTGCCCCATTAGGTTTGGGTTGGTGGTTAGTTAGATGATGGGGACTGCCTTTTCCTGAGACTGCCCTCATTGTTTGGATTTTCACTAGATTTTCCCCAGATGGAGAATCTAGAGAGGCTGGGGTTGTAGCAGGCGGCCATGAATAATCAGTAGGCGGTGTTGTTCCACCCTCCTTTCTATCCTTCAGTCTTGTTTGTCAAGTAGAAGGTCCAGTTACCCCTGTCTCAAATCTCTTTAGTCTCACTCCTTTTGCTGTGCTGATCCTATTCACACAGTCCACATTCCCATGGGGCATCCACTGCCTGGTGACCCAGTTTTCCTCATCTGAGAGCTTTGGCTTAAAGGCATATTTCAGTTTGTCAAGCTGTAATAGAGTAAGAATTTTGAATTATTAAAAGCAAGTTTCGAGTATTTCCAGATTTTCCCATCTATTCTGACTGACTGTTTATGTTGATAGTTCATTGTAACATAGAAGTGTCTTTTACCCCTTATTTTGAATCTACAACGTGTGTTTGTACTGCAGCACAGAGCTCTGTGAGCTGAGCCAAACTGAGTGGGTCACAATGGGGGAGATGGAGAAGAATACAAGCAGAGAAAGTGAGTTCCCTTGTGCCAAAAGCTCAGGCATCTATAATTAACAAAGAAGCTGCTGAACAATGAGGCTCAGTCCAGACTGCTGCAGACATCATGGCATCGGTTCCCTCTCAAATTAAGTATTACATTTAAATTGTGGATTTCAAGTTTTTCAGGTCCCATTTCAGTTTCTTACCCTTTCAGAGTTTGCTGCTGCGGCTCGT